GGCATGCGATGCGCCGTGCTCGTAAGGTTTTGTCGGACCCCAATGCTGGCGAGCAGCATGTGTGCGAGAGTCCTGATAAGCCACTAATGAAGCGTTAGGGCCGGCTGATACCTTTGTAGTGCGCACTTGTGGACTGTGGCTACCTCCGCGGCCCGTCTCGCCAGGCTGTCTTTCCTGCTGCCAGCGTTGGGAATCCATCTTCAAGTCTTGTATCATTTGCTGTAGCGAACCAAGTCAGTGTTGTGTTCGGGGGGGGGGGAGAGGAAAGAATGGTGATGGGTGAGAAGAGCGCCAGTCAGTCAGACATACCGATGTGAGGGTGCGATAGGCCGTTATCCAGTAGCCAGGTTGGCCCTATGTAGTTTGTCAGTAGTGCTCCGTAGTGTGGACATCATGGCAAAAGTTGCGGACCTGGTATTCTCCGGTGCCTGTGCCAGGCCTGACGAGCGCATCTGGGCCCAGGTAGCGCTGGATGTCGGCCGTGATTACTTCTCGCGCGATGCCTTCACCAGGCACAAACCACTGATTTGCGCGCGACATGGTTGAGAGCGAGATGTGTGTGTGTAGGAGTGTCTGTGGAGAGGTGATGAAAAGAAAGATGACGCTGTTGTCAATGCCAACTGTTGGGCGGCCAAGCTAAGGGAGCTAGTACAGACCAGGAGGGACCTTTGTTTCTCTCTAGGGGACCAAGAAGGAGCTCCAGAAGGGTGGTTGGACAGAGGACTAGTCACGTCGGGATGACGATGCAGGCTGGTGTGAGAGTCCGGGGGTAGGGGAGCTATCAAGACCAAGGGATGTCCAGAAGAGTTGGTGGAAGAAGATGCAGCACGCAGGAGCGGGGGTTTGGACCAATATACCGGCACTGGGAGGCGTGCAGCCTGTGACAGAGTGGACCTTTTGACGGCGTGGCTGCCGGGGACCGTTTTGGGATACCGAAGGTGATGGGATCCAGGTTCCTGGCCAGGAGAGGGCAGGAGTAAGGTTTTTGCTGTCGGAGGATCACGACAGGAGAGTGCCTAGAGGGATACTAGAGACTATGCGAGAGGCGATATTGCGCACTTTCGCAGGCTACGTTTGTTGAGGGGAAAGAGGGAAGGAGAGAGCGTGTTGGCTCGAGGAAGGATGAGCTTGAGCAGAGCCGCAGGTGAGGGTTGGGCGCAGCGAGTGCGGGGTGATTGGTCGAAGTAAATGGGCTCAGCTGGGAGCTGGCGCAGATATGCACGTCAGTCGGCTGGGAAGAGGGGGGGCAGGCTCTTCGGGCAGCAAGCAGGCGAAGGGAAGGATTTCTTGGTAGGGGAGGGGTGGTGTGGTGTGGTGTAGATGTGGGAGAGAGAGGGGGGGTAAGAGGGCAGACTGGTGCAGCAGTAGTGGTAGTTGCAACAGCAGCAGTAGCAACAAACAGTCAAGCAGCAGCAGCAGCTCAAAGCGGGCGGGCAGGCAGGCAGAAAGAAAAGGAAAAGACTAAAAGAAGAGGGGCGCACCGACGGCAGGCGAAGTTATTATTCGCGTGGGCCCAAAGACGGCGGCCATGGGAGTCTGGCGCGATTTGGGTAGCAAGGGCCAGAGTGGAGTGGGAGTGGGCGAAAGGCGAGGGTGCAGCGAGTGGTGTGGAGACGGGCAACAGGCCCTGCCATGGCGCCGCTTGGGCATCAACTGCCACGGGCCAGCGCCTGACGGTCAGCAAGCTAGCAGAGCACATGTACCACAGACCCGCTGTCGCCCGTCTCTGTAGAATACACTATTTGCCTTCAGACGGCTCCTTTGGGTGCCGGACGTATGTCGACATATGCGTAGAACACAGCAACTACCAAAGTAGAAAAGGGCACATTACCACACAGGCACACGGCACCACTGGCTGCGACGCCTCGACACTTCGCCCTACGCCACCATTGGCCGACACCGCACACGACTCGACCGCTCCAGCAGCGTGGGGACGGGGGGGGTTTGGTTCGGGCACAGCCGACGGCGGCAGATTTTACGGTGGGTTTGCAAATGCAATCGACATTGGCTGCGTGTGTGCCAGTGCCTGTGCCAGTGCAGAGTGTCAGGCCGGTGCCAGCCGCTGCGTGTGGGTTGGCCGGTGGTGACGTTGGCATGCCGCTGTTGCTGCTGCTGCTGCTGTGCTGCTCCAACTACCAACTATGCTCTCGCAGCCTGTGGCCTCACCGACATAAGGCACACACCCACACTCACTCCCTCACACTCGCCCAGTAGGAACGCCTCCCCCGTACCGCGAGCCTTGGGCCCATTCCCTCCGCTCCTCCATCGTGGCCGCTTGCTATTAGTCGACAAGTCTCGCCCACCCACTCGCTTTGCACTTGGTCTCATCAGTACCGTCTGCCCTGCCTCAGCCAGGCCTGGCGGGCACGTGTTTGTGTGTCACCGCAACTGCCCTGCTGCCCTGCTGCTCTGCTGCTCTGCTGCCCTGCTGCCCAAGCCCGCATACCGCATAACCACCCACGTCACCCCCCTCGTCCCTAACCCGCCGTCAGCCCGTACTCTCCGCCCCCGTGAACCTCTCCAGGGTTCTTCGCTGCTGGTCCTGCATCCCATCTACCTACCTGCTTGCCTCGTACATCATACTCCTCGCACTACCACACACACGCGCTACTTAGATACATCACTACTTACCGTGTACCTCTCTAGCATCTGCATACACACACGTTCCCACCACTCCATCGGCGGAGGCTCCCGGATATGCACTGTTGGTGGTTCCTCGCTCCAAAAAAGACAGGACCCAAACAAATCGTCGACCCTGTGAATCGACCCGCCCGCCTGCCCAACCACGCTATCACCAACCTGGCACAGTACTACTACCACTAGAGTACACCTCGCTCGCCGCCTCTTGTACACACTCGGCCAGGCCAGACCACACCACGGCTGCACCACCGCACATTGCGCCCTTGGCAGCCACTTGCCCCAGCCACTCCCGCAACCATAAACCCTCGCCGTTCCTGTACCTCGACCGCCCTCGACCCGCCTCTCACGTGGCCGGACCTCTACCCTCCTGCTCCCATGTCGGCACTCACCTTGGACACGCACTTGGGCTCTGATGTTATCAACCTGTCGCCCCCGGCCCGAATCCACCCGGACCTTTTGCTTCCCACGTATGCGGGGTCGGGTCCCACGCTCAATGTCTGCACGTAGATTGCTTGATAACTGCCATACGCCCAACCCACAAACCAACATGCGCCTGCCTCTGCTGCACATGTCCAACCGCCCGACGTTGATAAGTAGACGTACTCGGCCAGTACCTGCCCATCGCCCATCCATCGCCCTACCTTCTCCCAATCGGCGCCACACACACACAATACACACATACTTGCTACATATGTCCATGCTTTTACCGACACAATGGGAAACAAAGCATAGCCCAAGCATGGACACACTCGCATCTACTTACCGCAGCCTGCCACACTGGAGCCCAAAAGGCCGATCGCATATCCGCCCTCGTGCCCCAGACTGCCCTGGCCCTCTTTCCCATGGTCCAAAGGCCCGCCCGCCCCAGCCGTACTGTGACGTTTGCCAGCGGGATCTTCATTCTTCTGCTGACCGGCTGACGTACTCTACTCCTTCTTTGCCGCTGACCAATTGCCCCCCAAACATGTCTGTTGCCGGTAATGAGCGACTTTGCCATCATACTTAATCTGGCCCCCCATGTCCATACTACTCTCCCTTTGCATGGACTTGCCTTGCCCGTGATTCACTACTGCAGACACGTGTTTTGGATCCATTCTCATGTCCAATTCCATGTGGTGACGCCCAAAGTCTTGGGAGGAAACCTAACTCCCCACCCAACTATAACCTCTCTCTCTCTGTGTGTGTCCTTTTCTTTCTTTTCAAAACTCAAAAAATGAAGAGAAAAAAAAGCACAAGATAAGGTTACATGAGGGCTGCAAGTTGCCCAAGTCTAGATCTCGAGTGGCACTTGCAGCCCGAACAAATCATCATTTTTTCCCCCGTAACGTGACCTTTTTGTTTTTTGTCTGCCAATCAATCACCCTTGATCCTCGCCCTTTTTTTTCTCCCTTTCGTTCAGAACCATCTTCAGTAGATCGCGGAAAAGGGAGATGACGACGATTCCCCATCTCTTTTCCATTTACTTGGTTGATTGCAAAAAACAAAACGATAAGCTAGACCAAGAGATATAGAGTCAACATTCAAAAGTCAGAATTATAAAGTCTTCTCTCTTCCCCTTTCAAAATAATTGTCGTAATTTTTGCCTCCCCAAAACTCAATTTCCTCTCTCTCTCTCTATTAACTCGTAAAATCAAAAATTCCCATGACTCGTATATACATTTGTTGCCATTCTCATTCTCATTTCCATTTCATTCCTCCTTCATACAATCTTGTCTCTCTCTCTCTCTCTCTCTCTTCTCCCTCGATATTACCACAACTGCTACTTCATTACTAACCATCTCCCCATCCACATGCATATGCGTATATCTTGTAATCTTGCCAATTTCATCGTGAAAACAGAAAAAAAACTAAAAAAGGGGGGTATCAAAGGGGGAGGGGGAGGGTGGATGATGAGAGTATATCTTTTGACTTTGGTGCATGATGATTTGTGTGTGTGTGTGTAAAAGAAAACAAAAACAAGAAAAAAAATCAAGGCTTGGAAAAAGGTCAGTCCTGCTTGGAGAAGAACCAAAAAAAAACTCCCTCTCCTCGCAAATTGTCGCTTCGTAAAAGTGTCGTCGTTCGTGAAATCGGTGTATCCCGTTGCGCCCTCATAAAAAAAAGGAAACAAAAACAGAAAAAACTTGTGAGAAAAAAAGGGGGGACGAGGACGAGGACAAGGACGAGGACAACGAAGCGAGCTGGAACTGACAAAGACCATGTCAACGACGAACAAAAAACCGCTCAATAAAGCGGTTCATTCGCGAATCCGGCCCAGTCCTCGAGCCGCGACACAGCAGACGACGTGTGCCGCGCAATCTTCTCGCTCCACCACGACTCGCCCTCGTTCATGCCCACGGGGAAAATGCCAAATAGGTATCGTCCATTGCCGTATGCGCCGCTGCGGGTAGCGCTGTTGCCGCGCCCACCGCCGAGTCCCACGCCATTGGCGCGTTGCCACGCGTTGAGTCGCATGTAGAGGTAGAGGCAGAAGACTGCCAGGGCGAGGTTGAGCAAGGTGGGCAACCAATCCATGACGGCTTCGAATGCCGTCTTGGGCACCGTTGCAGGAATGGGTTGTGGAGCACGCGGCTCTACTTCTTCTTTATCATCGACAACACTAGGTGTCTCTGCAATCGTCTGGACCCCCATGCTGAGCATGACAACTTTAGGCTTGACTCGCACAACAATGTTTTCAGGCTGCACCTCGTGCGTCGTCACGACAGAGACAAACTCGTTGGGCGAGCCTGCCGTCGGGCTCTCGGGAACGGTTTGGGTCCCTTTGGTGACGGAGGCGGTGAATTTGCGCTCGACCACCGTAGGTGCAACAGGAGCGATGTCCAGAACAGAATGAGGGCCAGAAAGCGTCGATGCGACGGCTTCTGCAGCGACGGCTTCAACGGCTGCAATCGGAACTGTGCTGACAGTCGCGTAATCGACGAGCTGGTCGCGAAGCACTGGCGAATCCGTTTGAGTAGGAGATTCAGCCGTTCCGACCCGGACAGGTGTGCTTGGAGTCGTGCTAACAGACGCGTAGCCAGCGAACTCGGTTGTGAGTCGGGCGGCGTCGGTCTGGGCCGAGCAGTCCGAGGTGGAGTTGTGGCGCAGTGTCGGGATCGTGCTGCCAGCTTCCCTCACACTCACCGTTAATGTCGTGACTCCAGGTTCTTGTGGTGCAATACTGACAATTTCGTGCTGGTTCAAGCTGCTCGCCGCAACCCGGGCAGGCCCTCGCGGTGCAACGTTGGCAATTTCGCTCGTGTACATGCTCGACAGAGGGGCGCGAGCGGGCTCGATGGGCCCAGTGCTTGCCGTCTCACGCACAATCAACGTGTGTTTAGATACTGCCGTAGCAACGGGCTCTGTGCTAGTACCCTCGTTAACGCTGATAGTAAGAGGTGCATCCAGAGCGGGTTCGCGAGGCTCCAGGCGACCGGCTTCGCGCACGTCGAGTGTAAGTCGGGGTACATGAGCAGCAACCGGTGAAATGCTAACAGACTCCTGGGTATGAATGGCTGAAGGCGGCTGGACAGCAGGCGCAATTGGCGCATAGGTGAGAGGCGTCTCTTGGATGTGCGAGTAGTCGTTCCAGTCAATTTCGTAAAAATCTGCGTCGTCGATGGCCGAAAGCTCAGAAGCCAGCGACTCGCCAATAGCGCCAATGTGCTGGTCCTCGTCGACGGGAGAGGCAGCGTTTTCTCGAGCAATCGCGTCGGCAGCGTGATAGGTGCGCTGTCTCTCCTTCTGCACCTGCATTTCAAGGTGGCTGATTCGCTCATCCTTGACAATTATGGTGCGCTCCTGCTCGCCAATCTGCTCGCGCAGTGCGCTTATGTCGTGCTCTATGTCTTGGGCATGGTCGACGGCCTTTTGTGCCTCTTCCAGCTCAGCCTCCAGGGCCGCAATCCTCTCCTCCGACTCTTGCCATTGTTCCTTCAGATCCTCAAGTTGGAGCTTCAAATCCCGGTGGTCGGCGAGCGCCTCATCGCGGTCGATGAGGGCAGAGCGATGGGCAAAGCGCGACTGGTTGAGATCCGTGTAGAGTTCTTCTACGCGTTCCTCAGCGTCTTTGGTGGCGGCTTTTTCGTGATCAATGTCCTTTTCGAGCTTCTTGATGAGCGTATGGAGGCCCTTGGATTTGTCCTTTTCAATGTCCAACGCATCTGTACTTCTCTTGAGCTCGTCGTTCGCAGCGCGCAGCGAGCTCTCTGCCTTTGTCAACTCATCCTTGAGCACAGCATAATGTCTCTCCAGAGCCTCCTTCTGCCCCGTCAGCTCTACTATACGATCATAATCTGATTCCTCATTCATTGCGCAAGTTGGGTTACTCACCGCAACCTGGCCGTTGAAGTCTTTATGCGGTGGCTAGCTTCTTTGTTGGCATTGTCGCATGCGCCAAGGCACCGGGTCCGGAGCTAGCACGGGCGCTAGTCTCCACACTAGCGGGAACACTCCCCTGCTCAATGTGCTGGCAAGTCTAACAAGGCGAGGAAATCAGGAACAATTGGTGAGCTGATGCCGTACCATCCGCTTCATTGTTTCAGCATATTTCTGAATAATATGGCACAAATGCTGATTCATAATATCAGCCGTCTTCCGTCGCATTCGGGAAAATCCAACCCCGGTGCGGTGCGGTGAAGAGATCGCCTTTCACCCTAGTAAAGGAGGCTCAGGTACGCGACAGATCTGCAGGGAATAGTCTGCGAACCTACCTGCTATCCCACCTGTCAGCTCCGCAACCATGCCCTTCACCGCTAGTATACTGCACTCTATTTTCCCACACCGCAGGCGAACTTGTTGGGAAATACACTTTTCTACTGGCTAAAAGGGAGAATTCTGCAGCCCTACCACGCTTCTAGCCTCCTTTTTTTTCTTTTTTTCTTCTTCACCGTCTTACTGCATCATTCTTTCTTTTCAAGCATGGTACCTGCATCGAGCAAGGTCAAGCATGGCACTAAACGCTCATCTCCCGCTCAGCATCCCAGCTTTACACTGTCTGCATACTCTACGCAGCCAGCCTGCTCGTATCCGCGAACTCATCATACGCTGGCCCTGTAAACTTCTTCCTGCCTGTCATGATCCAAAACACAAGGCTAAGCAGCATCACTGCGCCAGTGGCAGCAGACGTGTAATTCATATTCTCGCTCGTCACGGGCGTAACGGTGGGCAAGTTCGAAACCACGCATACGAAGGTGAGGTACAAGAAGCCGATGATGTTGAGCACAATGCCCCATCTTCCGAGCGAGTATGAGCCTTCAAGACGTGTCTTTTTGCCTGAAAAGTGTGCCAGGATGCGGGAGAGAAGAGGCATGAGGTATGATAGATCTGTTGGGAACGGCATGAGCATGTCAAGTCCATTTCCAAGGGTTGAGCAAACAGGGGGATTTGACTTACAGAATCCTTGAGTGGCAATGCCGATGATGGTATTGAAACCAGTTGTTGTGCCAAAATAGATAGAGTTGAAAGCCATTTGCACAACGGTCGTGAGCAAGACTGCATACACGGGAACCGATCGCTCGGATACAGTGCTGAGCACGTTGGAAAACGGTAGACCGTTGTCACGTGCAAACGCATAGACAGCCCTCGATCCCTCTGCCATAAGCGAATTGGCACATACGACGGTGATTACGCTTAACATTGAGGCCATGGCAGATGTTCCTGCGATGCTGTTTGTAGAGTGAAACATGATTTCAATGACTGGCACTCCAGTTGGTGTACTGGCCGTTGCCTCAAGATCGCCAATGCAGAAACACAGCGCGACAAGCCATGCGAAGCCGGTAAAGAATCCGATGTACACTGACATGACGATTGCGCGAGGCGCCTGCTTACGCGCATCCTTGAGCTCTTCCGTCATGTGTGATGGTGCGTCATAACAGCACATTCCAAAGGCCGACTGCAGCAGGCCGAGACATGTGGCATATGGCACATTCCATCCGGTAAAGTTTTGAAAGTCGGTGAATACATAGCTCGCCGATTGTTTCTTGTCGTTCGTGGCCAGGATGGTGATGAAGCATACGGCAAACGAGGTCAGGTTCCAGATGAAAATGGCCTTGGAGAGCTTGTTGAGGATATGTGGGAGGTAGATGTTTGAGGTGGCTGCGACCCATGTAATCAGGTACGTGACTAGGACGGTATGCCAGCGTTCAATGGTGAACCCGTAGTTTAGTTGGGCGGTCCCAAGTAGGAAGTTTGCAGCTACATTGTTATTAACTGAACCCATGCATATGATTCCGATTAACATGAACCTGGGAGGGTTAGTCAAACCCAGAAACCCGAGTCTCTATTTGCACTTGCCATCCACAAAGATAGCTCATTGATTTAGCCCAGCGCGAAGGAGCGAGTATGGCAACCCAACTGTACTGGCCACCAGCAACAGGGTATCTAGAAAGAATCAGCAAAACCCTCAAAATTGTGCATGGACTCCATACGCGCTACACATCTCAGCCATGGAATACGCCACTGCGAGCGTGACCAAGCAAACACACAACCAGCCCCATATCATGACTGGCGGTCCTCCGGATTCCACGCCGATAGTAAGAACGCCAGATAGTGCAGTCCATGATGTGACGATACTAAATGAGAAGCCAATCATACCCAGCAGTCCAAAACTGCGCTTCAACTCTGTCATCTCGTTAGCATACTACTCAAGACCGCCATCCGAAGCATACTCACCCTGGGTATACCCCAGTTGCGCAAGCACATCATCATCGCTGGTAGCGGTACTATCCAGCACCTTCTTCTCATCAAGCGTATCCGTCATATCGACTCTTTACTACCTCACCCAAGAGAAAAAAAGCAGTAAGTAAAATCAAATCACAAGTGTGAAAGCAACTGATTCACCCAGCCAGAAAAGAAAACCCCCATTTCAAGGGCGGTCCCCCTCCCAGAATATATCTATTAAAACTTCCCACTGCATATCCGACCCGAACCACAAAAATCTCGCGGTCCTTAGTCCCCCCCAATTGGAGCTCGTGAGCAACACACGATAAGCCACAATACGAACGGGGGGTGGGCGGACACGGTACTACCCTGACCCTGCGTCATTGACTGCTCCCCTCTTTCCTCCCCCTTCCCTTCCGATAACAAAAAAACTCTCTCTCGACCCCATTGAAAAGATTGGAGGATTTCCGTGGATTGGGGTTGGTTGGTCAGTCGGCTGTTTGTAAACGGGGCTTATCGCGCAGTCGGCTGGGTGTGTGGCGATTGGCGGAGATAGGGAAGGAAGGAGCAAACCGGGGTTCGTGTAGAGAAGGTGGGGCGGGGGTCATGGTTGGACAAGATAGGGCAGATGTGTCGAGAGCTTGTTTTTACGGTTATATTTTTCTTTATTCTTCAGACATGTCGAGATTTGTGTTTAAGGTTCGTACTTGGGAAAGTGTTGGGGATGGAGCGATGTGGGTATGTTGAGGGCATGATGTTGATCAAGTTTAGGGATGGAAGATGGAAGGAACGTTACATTGTCATTCTTGCGGATCCTCGATAGTGGGTGAAGTATCAGACCCACAGTACCGCGCAGCAAGAACTATCCGTACTTCGATCTTGCAGTTTAGGTAAACATGCGTGGTAAGCGTTTGGTTCGCCTCGAATAAGGCAGTTCCATGCAAACTCCGCAATCTCCAACATCCAGATCTATCCAAATCTGTACTCGTAACCCCTCTTTTCAAATGAACCATCCAAAAGTGCAAAAAGACAACATAACAATTTCTGACTGCAGAGTGCGGAACACAAGGATACCTCGCCAACAATGACCACACAAATCCTCAGCACAACTCCCTACCCCTTCCCACACACGCCCTCCCTCCACCCCAGCACCACCGCGCTCGTCCTCATAGACATGCAACGTGACTTTTTGCATCCAGGTGGCTACCTTGCCTCCTCCGGCTACTCAATCACGCGCTTCAGCGATTTAATCCCGCGCTTGGCCTCGCTCCTATCCACCTTCCGGAAAGCGGGCTTCCATGTGGTGCATACGCGCGAAGGACACGAAGGTCATCTAGCGACGGTGAGCAGCAGAGAGGCGCATAGGAGTGCGATCAATGGGGCGCAGATTGGCAGTCGAGGGCCACTAGGGCGACTGTTGGTTAGAGGGGAGGAAGGGCATGATATTATAGCCGAGTTGAAGCCGGTAGAGGGGGAGTTGGTGATTGACAAGCCTGGTCGTGGTGCTTTTGTGCACACCGAGTTGGATCTTGCGCTTAGGGCAAAAGGCGTGAAGAACCTGGTGGTCTGTGGCGTCACGGCAGATGCATGTGTAAGCAGTACAGTGAGGGAGGCGAGCGACAGGGGATATGACGTCTTGGTCGTCGAAGATGGGGTCGAGAGTGTTAGTGACGAGCTGAAAAAGTGGAGTCTGGAGAGTATCAGGGTAGAGGGTGGGCTGTTTGGGGTAACGGGGACATGCAAGGCCGTTGAAGGAGCAGTGGCAAGCTGGGTGGGGAACTCGACGCAAGATAGCACGGCAACTGAATGAAGACGAAACGAAACATCACATCTCGCGATATGGTGTGCATTGAACTTGTTTGCATTGACTTTGACTAGCCAAGATGAAGACGGAAGCTTCATATATTGATCATTCCCATACCACCCATGAACTTAACGCCGTAGAGACTAATAGCCGTGACCAGATCATATCCATAAACAATGTGTGACGAGAAATTTAACCACCGAAACCGTAGAGGGTACGGCCCTGGCGCTTGAGAGCGTAGACAACGTCGAGCGAGGTGACAGTCTTGCGCTTGGCGTGCTCAGTGTATGTGACGGCATCACGAATGACGCTCTCGAGGAAGGTCTTGAGGACACCACGGGTCTCTTCGTAGATCACTAAGGGTATGTTAGAGAAAGGTCGGTGAGAGGGTGATGCAGGGGATGCTTACTAGCAGAAATACGCTTGACACCACCACGACGAGCGAGACGACGGATGGCGGGCTTGGTGATACCCTGGATGTTGTCACGAAGAATCTTTCGGTGACGCTTGGCACCGCCCTTGCCGAGGCCCTTGCCACCTTTGCCGCCTGAGGAAAGATGTTAGCATACTGTATATCGAGAGTGTGTGTAGGTGGTGATAGGCGCGGATGGGTTGGGTAAGAGGCGCGGCGCAATAGTGGGGCGACGCGTTGAGCCTCAACACCAAGCGCGCCTCATAACCAGACGCAGGCAGCGATGCAACACCAACGATGCAACGCGCACCAAAGGCGATGAGGGCAGCGACGACAAGGGAAGTGTCAGTGTACTTACGTCCAGTCATGTTGATAGAGGTTTGGTTGGATAGAGGGTGATGGGTTGTGGTTGTAGACGCAGATGGGGCGGGGTTGGTGGATGGAGATGGGAAAAGCTGGGGGGGATGCGAAAAAGGAGGAAGAAGAGGAGTGCAGCGAGCGTGGGCGGGCTGGTTATATAGACGAGGGACGGGCGCGGCGGCTGCCTCGAGATCACACACGCAAAAGGCGGCCGCGCTAAACCGGGTTGGGAGGGGACATGGAAGCAAAAAGCGACTGAGTTGCCGCCCTCACAATTTGCGACCAAAATCAAAAGACCTGGAAAGCAGCACTTCGAATTGCGCCCTGACCTGGCAGGCGCGCCCGCCTCCTAGTTGCGACTGCTGGCTGGGGGCGCGGGGTCCGTGCGCCAACTTCATTCTCAACGCGTCCACCTTACTCCTCCAACACCCCGCTGCTGCATCGCGTCTGCGCCCCGCCAGAGACTACTGCAGTGCCTGAAAATCATACATGACGTTCCTGGACACGATATATCTCTTGTATCTTGGTTCTATGCACCGCTTACAGCCTCCAGAAATGGCAAACGATGACTTGCACAACACGCCCTCTCTCGGATCTGCGCCTTCACCCAAACCCAACTACGCGCAGCCAGTGTGACGTAGTAGTATGGCTCGACTGACTTTTGTACCGAACTACTCTTCACTGTTCCAATGAGAGAGACGATTAAGAAACAGTGCATTTGAAAATCACATCACTCAATTCAACTTCACGTGGTTCAAAAGTACACTGATTCAAGACAAAAGGACTCATTTCACATTCTAGCCATTCTACCAGTCTGCTAAATCAACAAACGAAAACACTGTCACAGTCTGTCCATCAAAATCAACGTGTCACGTCCATTCTGTGATACCAGTCCATCCCCTCGACTATTTTACTTTGTCTCGTCGCCAGTCTTGTCGGCAGCCGCTTCATCGTACACAGGAGGGGCATCGTATGCTGGAAGCTCAGCAAACTCCTCCTTCTCGCCCTGCTCTTCCTTCTTCAGGCACTCTTCCACATCACCATCTTCAAAGTCCTCGATATCCTCCTCACGCAGAGCAATAGCCTGGTACCTCTGGCCACGGAACTTGGCAACCGTCATGGCAATCAGACATCCTAGCGCCATGCCAACCAGGTATGTCAGGGTACCAGCGAAGACGCCAATGAGAATAGGAACAAAGATAGTGAAGAAAGCACGACGAGCAAACATGGCAATGCGGTGGTGGTGTGCGTGGTGGTGTTGGCCCTCACCGTGAGGCTTGCCGGGGTGGAAGCGGTGTGGCGGCTTGCCCTCAATCGTCTCATGTTCCATGGGGTTGTGGGGGCGCATGCGCATGTGGCACCCAGGCTTGGGCTTGCCCATGTGCTTAAGCTGTTCAAGGCGGTCGGCCATGATGCCCTTCCACTTGCAGTACATAGGCCATTGGTTGCATTCCTGCTCCGAAGGCCCAGCCCTGCTGGGCTCAGCCTTGTTAAACGACGCAATCATAAGACGGCCCTCGGCATTCTTCAGCATGTTGATTTGTAGCACAGGAGGATCCACAGGCATGTCTTCAACCGATGTAATCTTAAGGGTCATCGGAAGAAGCTCAGTACCCTCTTCCGAAATGGTCTCGGCGCCGTTGAAGTCAAACTCAAAGCCTGTAATGCGTAGACGCAGGCCGTCGTCCGAAGAAGGGTCCATTTGGGTAAGATGATATGTCGCAAAGGCCATGCCAACCGAAGGAGGAAAGATTTGTGCGCTGTCAAGATTGAGAATCTCATCCTGGGGTCCGACGTCAAAGTCGAGGCGCTGGTCAAAGGTTAGTATGCCACGTTTTGACGTCTAGGTTGCACAACGTACGAATGTGTTGCCTGCGCCCTCCTTCCACTTGAGTGAATCACCGTCCAGGGTTGCGAGAGCGCATCCCGGGCATTCAAGCGCAACAGATCGCTGCAAGGGGTTAACTGCAAACGCTTCCAAGGCGTGGCCTTCGTCCAAGTCCATGGTTGACGGGATGAGGATGGCACTGGCGGCCAGCGCCAAGTTCGCAAAGACGCCCAGTTTGCTAGGAGACATTGTAAAGATTGATTGATGATAAGATTCAAATGACAAGAGAGTGAAAGATGGTGCAGAATTGAAGGTAATAAGGAGTTCGGGGTCAGAAGATGGCAGTGCTTCAGATGGCGCAACCTTAGGACAATCCGCCGCGTCATCGTCACGTGCGACACCAATGGACCCTGACCACCTCTTGTCAGAGTGTCGCACCCTTCGTGAAACACCTGATGAAGCAGCCAGCGAAACACCTATCAATGTGCCTGAACATGCCAATATATTTAAAGCAGGACCTCTTACTATAGCCTCTTTTGCGCAATTTGCATGCCTTGAAGAGCTATACGTGGGGCAGTTTTGCTACGCCGTCGTCTTGTTTTCGGACGTTCCACGGCGAATGGGTGGCCTTTGTGCCCAGTCCAGCCCAGCGCCACACGCTCTCCCCAACCCGATACGCTAGCGGAAGCGGGGATCATCGCATCTCGGAGCGGTACATGTGGCAAATGCACAACACCAGAAGCAAGCAAGCCACTGCTTTTTTGTACTCGTTGATATCGAGATCCGCTCAACAGCTTGCACATGTAACCCATTCAAGCACAGCCTATTCCATCTCTCGACTTTTGAACATCCGCAGCTCTCCGGTCATGATCCTCGTGTAGCCTCATCTCGTGGCGCGGTGTACAACCGCACCGGCAATGCACCCACACCAATCGGTACAATGTCCTGTGAAGCTGACACCCGTATCTCTGCCGTCGAACAATATTCGACCTCATCCTCCGGCCCACATATAGATAGTCAGCTCAGATTCTCTCAAATCTTATTAAACGCATCCGTCGGACCGACGTGCGAACCAAACTGCCGTTTAACACTGCAAAACCTGCCAAGCTAACGCTGGCTATTAACAGACTTGCCGCCGCATTATTATTATCCCATTGAAACGCCCCTCCCCAGAAACACTCACTTGTGGTGGGGTGGGGGGGTTTGGGGAGTAGGTTACAATCATTGTTTTTTTTTTCCTTCATGCCCATGAGACTGTTTCTGCTTGATTAGGCGAATAACGCAACACACACAAGCCATGTGTCTTTTGCACATCGGTGGTTCCGGAGATTTACACAACCTTGTTGTTTGGTTGCGAGTAAAGTATAAAAAATCTTTTGGACAATTATGCGGTGGCGATGTTTGTTCCGTCAAACGGAGTGTTTCGGCGATATGGGGGGGGGGCCGTCGGGATGCAATGATCTGGTTGTCGGGGCTTGTTGGCAAGGAGACTTTGGATAGAGTGGCAATAGAGGAAGGTGAGGTGTGTAGGAGTTTAACAATGTGGTATTTATGCAGGTACGCATCTACTTTTGAGGATTTGTCCATGTACTTGTATGATAAGTAGGCAACTAAACCCGATAACCTCTTGTTACTTGAAAAAAAAAGTACCGCATGATTCCTATTCAAGTCTTTTTGATCGACACTGCGCATTCTGGCACTATCAATTCTGTAATTTAAACCCATCGAATACGATTCAGCGGGGGGATGGAAACCCCCATAGGTACATTTACTCTACGAATCCACTACACATTGATTCGATTCATGCTATCTCATAGAAACCCAATATCATACACATACACATTCAAACTCGCCCCAACAAACACACCATGGTATCTTTCGCTCGTAAAAAAAACGACAACAACAAAAGCCGCTTCAACCAGAAAATGAAAGATAAAAAAATATCATAAAAGAGGGTGATTGAACCACACAAGCACTCCCCTCCATGCTATGCCAACCTCGCAATGCAAAAAAGAAAAGAAATCACACCATCGTCATCATCGTAAATCTGTCTCTTCCTCGCCCTTAGTTTTTCCACTACCCTCTCACATTCTACTAACCTGCACCGGCACCCCAGGATGCATATTAAGCATATAGTGCGGTCCAGGCATCGTGCCGCCCCCATACATAGAGCGACTCCCATTCCTCTGATGCTGAGCGCCCGCCACCTCCGCACTACCATACGGCGGCGGATACGGCGGCGGGGGCTGATTTCCAAAGCCAGCGGCGCTAGGAATACTCCTGCAGTCGTCCATTTTAGCGAGCATGATAGCGTCGTCGTTTGAGCCGCGGTTGAGGGCGCGCGCATGGGCGGAGCCGCGTCTGTGAATGCAGGTGTGCATGAGGATCAGGAACATGAAGATGCCG